ATCACACCATACCTATCAGGGTAGACAACTCTTATGTTTGACCTATACAAGGGCCATCACACCATACCCATCAGGGTAGATAACTCTTATGTTTGCCCTATACAAGGGCCATCACACCATACCTATCAGGGTAGACAACTCAAGGGTTATGTTTGACCTATACAAGGGCCATCACACCATACACATCAGGGTAGATAACTCTTATGTTTGCCCTATACAAGGGCCATCACACCATACCTATCAGGGTAGACAACTCTTATGTTTGCCCTATACAAGGGCCATCACACCATACACATCAGGGTAGACAACTCTTATGTTTGACCTATACAAGGGCCATCACACCATACCCATCAGGGTAGACAACTCAAGGGTTATGTTTGACCTATACAAGGGCCATCACACCATACCTATCAGGGTAGACAACTCTTATGTTTGCCCTATACAAGGGCCATCACACCATACACATCAGGGTAGACAACTCTTATGTTTGACCTATACAAGGGCCATCACACCATACCCATCAGGGTAGACAACTCAAGGGTTATGTTTGACCTATTCAAGGGCCATCACACCATACCCATCAGGGTAGACAACTCTTATGTTTGACCTATACAAGGGCCATCACACCATACCTATCAGGGTAGACAACTCAAGGGTTATGTTTGACCTATACAAGGGCCATCACACCATACCTATCAGGGTAGACAACTCTTATGTTTGACCTATACAAGGGCCATCACACCATACACATCAGGGTAGACAACTCTTATGTTTGACCTATACAAGGGCCATCACACCATACCTATCAGGGTAGACAACTCTTATGTTTGACCTATACAAGGGCCATCACACCATACACATCAGGGTAGACAACTCTTATGTTTGACCTATACAAGGGCCATCACACCATACCTATCAGGGTAGACAACTCAAGGGTTATGTTTGACCTATACAAGGGCCATCACACCATACACATCAGGGTAGACAACTCTTATGTTTGACCTATACAAGGGCCATCACACCATACACATCAGGGTAGACAACTCTTATGTTTGACCTATACAAAGGTCATCACACCATACCTATCAGGGTAGACAACTCAAGGGTTATGTTTGACCTATACAAGGGCCATCACACCATACACATCAGGGTAGACAACTCTTATGTTTGACCTATACAAGGGCCATCACACCATACCTATCAGGGTAGACAACCTTTATGTTTGACCTATACAAGGGCCATCACACCATACCTATCAGGGTAGACAACTCTTATGTTTGACCTATACAAGGGCCATCACACCATACACATCAGGGTAGACAACTCTTATGTTTGACCTATACAAGGGCCATCACACCATACCAATCAGGGAAGACAACTCTTATGTTTGACCTATACAAGGGCCATCTCAGCATACCTATCAGGGTTGAATGGACCACTCTAAAGACAGGTTGATAAAATAACTGAAATGTTTTGGCTATTAATCTTCAGGCAAAACCATTGTATATTAAACTAAGGGGGTGGGGGTCGTTTATAAATGACGTCACACGAGTAAAAACAAAAGGAGGGGGGGGCGTAATTTTGTGACGATGTATGGTGAGGGGAGCGAGATGGTTCAGATAGTGTGACGTCATACTTTAGCATTTAAAAAAAGAAATGTTAGAAACTGAATTCTGTGCAGTTACTTCGCGTTGTAGAAAGCTGTATTAATAAATTTTGAGGGGATGGGGGGGGGGGGGGGGGGGGGAGTTAAAAATCGTTAAAAGCGTGACGTCATTTATAAGTGATCCTTAATGTTGAAGATGAAAAAGAACATTTTAATTTATTTTTAAATTAATGTGCTTTTTTTCGAGCGAGTATTGATTTTATTCTAAAAGAATTTTTTTAAAAAGGAGCTTTAACTGATTCTAAACACATGCCTACTAATTAAATTGACACACGAATGAGGAACCCCAAACCATTCGCCATGTGAATATGCCATATGGGGAAGTTAGCAGGAAACAAGATTGTAACAAAAACAAAACTTAACGTAACTTCCTAAACCTTTTTGACCTGTCGTTCATATTAGACCAGTGTTTTCTTCCAGACTTTTTTCCCCGGGGGCACTTGAAATTTTTCTCCGGGGGCGGACACTGTTAAATGTATATATTTTCTATATAAATTCCATTTCGTCCGGGGGGGGGGGGGGGGGGGGGGGGGGAGGCGGTAGACTTTGCTCCGGGGTTATGCCTGAAAGAAACTCTGTATAAGACGTCACACTTTCTGGGCTGCAATCTTTGCCCCCCCTCCACTCCATTGTGACACAGCGCCAAAAACATATGACCCCCCCCCCTGTCCAATAGACACACCACTATAAATCCTCCCAAACTCTCCCCCCCCCCCACGCTGGGTCATGTCACAGTACACTTATTAAGTTTAAAAAAAAAGGGAAAATGAGAAGAAATGCCCCCCCCCCCCCTAGGCGAAGAGATGTCTGAAACACTTCACCCCACTTAAGCTATACCAAATTAAACACTGTCAAACGAAAGTTAACACGAGTTGAATCCATCCCATTTTTAAAGAAACCACCAATTCGGATCCTCTCCCCTCTTTTCCATACTCTCCCCAATCACTCTATGTGCGAAACGTCATTTCTGGACAACTCCTTAGCCTTGCGCTAATCACATCCTGTATCAGCCTATTTACCTGTCGTATCTAATCTTTGATTAAACTTTACACTCCACAGGAAGCCCCCGTGTAGGCCTAGCATAAAAAGCGGCAGGCTACACGTGTCCTAGAAAATTTTTATGAAAATATTCAACCATTTTGAAAATAATTTCGAACCATATTAACAAAGTAAAAAAAAAATAATCCGCCTCTAGTTGAAAGATAATTATGTAAGCTGCATTACATTTAAACTGTATTTTAAAAGCCGATTAGCACAGCTTCAGTTGATAGAAAACACATTACATGAAGTTATAGCATGGTGTGTGAGTAAAATAATTGCTGTGTACATTAGCGGTGTGTTTGGGTGAATGGGCGTTAGGCTATGGCTTTTAAGCCTATTTAGCTATAGGATATTTGTAATTAAGACCCCTCCTACTACCATCTAAACTTCCCTAAAAGTCAGACCTCCTATCCCCACTTAAACGACAATACTTCAGATCCACATTTCTAAGAAAATGAACGTGTTTTAGTTTTTTTTTATCTTCTCTTATGCAGAGTGCAGAGGAAGTATTGTAATCGTGCAAAAAATAGAAATCGAGGTTATATCATATCTCGACGTTTTACGCCTTCCCTAGTCGAAAAACCTTGTCGTATGTGTGTTTGTGTGTGTGTATGTATGTGTATGTGTGAACTTGAGTAGGCCTGCAGTTTAAGTTGGGTGGATACATTTTATTTCACACTTTTGAGCAATTTCCGGTAAACAGAAGTGGGACTCACTCAATTAAAAAAAACCGATAGTTTAAGTACCATTTCAGTTGGGTTGACGAAATTTCACATATAAGTTTAGTTCCGATTTTAAAAAAAATATTCATAATTTCATAATTTATATAATAGGACCTACTGTAAATAAATTGTTAGGTTTTATTTCTAATAAAAATGCATTTACGACAACTGTAAAGAAAGTCTGTATAAGATGTCAAGCTATTTTAACTGATTTTTGCGAACACTCCCCTCCATTGTTACAACCTTCCCCCCCCCCCATCCCACTTCCTAAAATGACACCCAAAGTTCGGTAAAGTTCATTAAATTATCGAGTGTTTCATGCCCCCCCCCCCCCCCCCAAGAAAATCTAACACCACACCCTGAAAGAAAAGAAATTTATATAGAAAATATACTTTACCAGTGTCCGCCCCCCCCCCCCGGAAAATTTAGTACGCCCCCTCCCCCCCTCCTACGAAAATATCATGTGCCTCCCCGGAGAAAAAAGTCTGAAAGAAACCCTGCTTGAACTGCTCCCTCTTGTTTCACGGAAACAACCTTAATGTAACGTCCCCTCACTTGCTTAAGTATGTGATCTCATGTATATCGGTTGTTTATATAAAGTGCAGGGCCGGCGCTACCTATAAGACGAACTAGGCGGTCGCCTAGGGCGCTGGTGAAAATGTGCCCCCACCTCCTTATTTGAATAAATTTTGCCTAGGGCGCTAAATAACCTGGCGCCGGCACTGATAATGTGTTGCTTAAAATTACTTCATCACTCTGAACTCTGAACTAATAGGAGGAGGGGATCGGTCTTCCTTGATGATGGTTAAGAAAGTGTGACGTCTTACCTTTAGAAATACTCTTTGATTCTGAAAATTCTGGTAATTATTGTGCTTTAAAAAATTATGCAAATCGTTATAGACAGAGTTTCTTCCAGGCATCTCTTCGGGGGGGGGGGGGGGGCGAAGCCCCCCCGGAATTTTTTTTACCGCCCCCCCCCCCCGAACGAAATGAAATTTATATAATTTATATAGAAAATATATACTTTTAACAGTGTCCGCCCCCCCCCGAAGAAAGTTTACCGCCCCCCCCCCCCCCCGAAGATTTCAAGTGCCCCCCGGAGAAAAAAGCCTGGAAGAAACACTGGTTATAGAATCTAGAAATCTACATGTTGTCCCAAAGTAGTAGCACAAAGATCCAGCATTTTTAAAATTATAGTTGTCTCAAAATTAAATTAAAAATTTTGAAGCGGCTGGAGTGTGAAGTTATTTTGCGAGGAATCTGACTTTTTGTTAAAATGAGTAACCTTGGCGATGGGAGGGAGGTAAAATAATAATAATAATTAAAAAACATGACGTCATGTATGGACAACCGCTTATAACAAAAATATAAAATTCCCTACAAACTATTTTTAAAAACTAAAATTAGAATCAAATGTTGTATATCTAGTTTCATTCTTTCCTGCTATCTACATAAGAAATAAATCACTTCATCTTGCGTATCAAATCTAGAGAGCAGCTTAATTAAAAGTTGAAGATGAACTTTAACCTCGTTCAATCTTATCGCTCAGCCACCTAGGCCACACAAAAAAGTCACGTGAAACTTTCGTCACGTGATCTGGTCTTGTGATAAAGTTGTTGTTCAGTCCAAATAAAAGCCCGTGGTAATCAGTGCACTTTCAGATTTCTTTCCATTTTCAGTCTTCATTTTGAGCAAGTAGTCTTGTAAGTAATTCTATTTTTGAGCAAAACTTTTTATAGAAAATGTTAATGACTGCCTACATTGAAAATTTGGTAGATCTTGAATCTTAGATCTCTCTCTAGATTATCATTTTATAGAACTAGATCTAGACTCTAGATCTAGGATTCTAGTGACAGTGGAGTGTCTAGCAGCAGTGGCTGCAGCAGCTAGCCTAGCTACTATTAGTAGTACTAAGCTAGTGTCTTGTTTTTGACTAGTAGTTACTATAATTTATTAATTTAATTTAATAGCTAAACTAAAAAAAACGAAGTGACTACGCGTCTCGCAGAGCGTGGCCTCTAAAGAATAGACTACGCGTCTCGCAGGTTTGATTTGCCATCTTATAAATGAAAATGCTTACTTTTAACTGTTCTGACACATCCGCTGTGGTCGAGTTAACAGTGTGCCAGCTGTAGACTGAAGTTCATAGTCACGTAGTTCAGAGTTCGAGACCGGGGTTAGCTCGGCATGTACGAGTTTTTTTTTTTTTTTTTACATTTTTTTTTCATATTGAAAATATGACTTAGACTATGATTTTTTTTTTTAAAAAATAAAACTTCCAAACATCGTCACTGTCGTGATTGCTTGCTTGCCTTACGTTTACTATCCCATGAGTGGAAAATCCCACCACGACCCACGGTCGGCGAGGTCACGTGAGTTCAGCAGGCCTAAAGCATACGTCATAGACACAAGTTCACACGAGATCGTCTGTCTTCACTTCTCTTCTTCCCACCCCCTCCCCCCTCAAGCAAATTGAAATTTTTTTTAAGTTCACATAGGATAAATAATACAGACTTAGATCTACTATCACCCATGCTAGATAGGTAGGCCTAAATGATAAAGGACAGTTTGATTTAGCTAGGTTGCTGCTAGATCTAGGACTATCATCTGACCTCACAAATTTTCCTTGACACTACTACACACTGCTTTTTTACAAGTACTAGATGTAGAATCTTAGGTGTTGAAATAATATAAATACACTTAAACTCGATCTAGATCTATGTCAACATTAAATTGTTACCACGAAAAAAAAAATCAGGCAGTCCTGATATGTTTTTTTTTACATCGCGTGCCGCCTAGGGTAAAGATTAAGCGTAACGCGGAGCGAACTGCGCAAAGGCGGCCTTACGCGTCACGCGGAGCGAACCGCGCAAATGCTAACTAACTAAACTAGTTAGTCTCTAAATGTTAAATTGAAATAAATAACTCTTCTAGACTCTAGTAGTTCTTAATCATTAAGAAGATTAAGTTAATCTAGTGACTAGTAGAAAAAGTAGTGTAGTAGTTCTACTAGTACTAGTAGATGTACTAGATTACTACTACTCTAGTAGTCATAAAATTCACTAGCCGAAGTCTAAAATTAAGAAAAATGATTTAGTGTTTCAAATTAAAGTATTCATTAGACATTAGCTAACCTAGATCTAGTTGGTTTGGAAGTATGTAGTATGTAGATTTTAGTAAGCCAATTTATCTATCTAAAGTTTACTAAATCTATAAAAAAATGTAAACGAGAGGGGTGGATAAAAAAATGATGGCAATAGGCTTCAATAGGTATTACATTTTTGACTGACATTGTCCCCATTCATGCCTGTTTTTTTCAAAGACCAAATTTGTTTTTTAAATGGTTTTACTATTTTTGTTTCAGAGTCTTGAACATGCTGCTGGTTGTTGTAGCAACCGTGTTGGTCGCCTGCACAGCTGGTCAAGTTTTATTCCCAGACTTCGGCCTTCTCAATGATGACGAAATCCACTACATCAACAACATAGCTGATACTACATGGAAGGTCAGTTCATTAAATAATATAATCAAAATGGCTCATTGGAAGATTGTTCCATTTTTTTTTTAATTTAAAAAGTTGATTGAAATAGAGAATCTACTTTCTAATATTTTGCATTATATAAACTATATAAAGTAATCAGCTTTGATTTTTGCAGTAAAGAAACATTTAAAAAACTAAAAAAAAACTAATTTTATCACTGATTAATGAAAAAAATATACTTGTTTAATATAACATGTATTAAGTAATGTAGGTTGTATGTGATTTTTTTTTTTAGTTTTGGTGCTTTAATTTGAAATTGTTAATTTTCTTAATTATTTTAAGTTTTTTAAAATAGATCCTTAAGTACTCATTTTTTGTCATTTTCTTTTGTTTTATTATAAACAAATATTCGTACATTATAAAAATATGGTTTATTATTTACGACAAACAGGCTGGGCGTAATTTTCATCCTAAAGACCACGGCCTTGTGAGGAAACTCCTTGGTGTACCAAACATGGAGAAATCTGAATACTTAACCAGGAGCCTTCCAAGGCGACAGTTTAAAACCAAACTGAGCTCTGCCAAGTTGCCAGAAAACTTTGACCCTAGAGTTGAGTTCCCACACTGCCCATCCCTGAAAGAAGTCCGTGACCAGGGTAACTGTGGCTCCTGCTGGGTTAGTCATTAGGTTTTTGTTTTAATGTAATCATTATAAAGTGAATGGGATGGCATGATTGGATGGTACTACTGCTAACTCAAGTCTCTGAACCCTGGCTAGAATCAAAGAATACTCTGAGTGTTCATAACTCTGTTGGGTAGGTACATGATTCACATTAAGGAAAGTGCTGACCACACTATCCCTTCATATGCCAGGTAAGAAACAGGTGAACTCTACTTTATCTGCACCATGGACTGCCAGGTTTGAAAGGGTAACATCATCATAAAGTGATTATGTGATTGAACATGCTATTAAAGTTATTATCTGTTCGATGTCAATTAACAATAATGCAAAATGGAAATCTGACTAGATAGGGAAAATGCAGTTTGCTGCACAGAGTGCTAACCATACAATCCCTTACATACAAAGAAACTTCTATTTACATATTAGTCTGTAAAATCTATATAAATTTAGTAAAGCTTGTAGTGTTGGGTGATTCAGTACATAGTAGGTAACTGTTATGTAGGAAGTGTCAGAAAAGTAGTAGAAATGGCTAACTCTATTGTACAGTCAGCTGGAGTTGTGTAGATTTAACTACGGTAATGTTATTTGGTTGCAATGTTTGTACATTTTGTCAATTTCTTCTCCTTTCAGGCTTTTGGTGCTGTTGCTGCCATGACAGATCGTATTTGCATTTACTCCAAGGGAAAAGAGAACTTCCACTTCTCAGCTGAGGACCTCCTCTCCTGCTGTGAGAGCTGTGGGGATGGGTAAATTACAAACTTTTTATATTTGTCAATTTTCTACTGCAGTGGTTGTTTACATTTAAAGTTTCTATATTAAGAATAAAGTCTTTTACTTTAAACTGAACAGGAAGGGATTTAAAAAGGAAGTGGGTACTGATAAAAATGTTTATAGAGTCAAACATTCTGTATTTGTAATAAAAACAAATTGCATGTTTTGAAGTTTAATTAAAAAAATTTTCTGTTCCAGTTGTGATGGTGGCTTCCCAGCCGAGGCATGGAATTTCTACCAGAATACCGGAATTGTGTCAGGCGGTCAATACAATAGTTCTGAGGTACAGATGTGTTCTTTACATTTAACAGTGCTAGCAATAGTGCTGTTATTAACTTATTGTGCTTTAAATATAGCACATATCACTAACAATAGTTGTAAGTGAGGGGGGGTGGTATTAATCCATTCACTAAGGGTATAATATACTTGGTTGGCTCTTTTAGTATTTTAGTAATTCAGATATGCCAGGGTTTTTGTAATAAGTTAAATTATCAGGACTAGATTTGGGGTTGAGTTTGTAGTAGTACTAAAAATTAACTGATTATCTAGAAACTACGATTTATTTGGAATTCTATCTATAACATTAGAACCTGGTTAACCTGTTGTTTATCTGATAACTTGCAGGGCTGTCAGCCATATCTGATCCCCGCATGTGACCACCACACCACTGGACATCTCAAACCCTGTGGTGGACCAGAGTTACCCACACCACCATGCAAAAAAGTCTGTGAACCTTCATACACTGTTCCATACGCAAAGGACAAACACTTTGGTAAGTCTTTCTCATAGATGCATTTATTTTACTCAGAGGCCCAGCAACCCCTCCCGGCGCCTGGGGAAACTTTCGATTTGCACCCCACCCCTCAAGATTTCGATTTGCACCCCACCCCTCAAGATTTCGATTTGCACCCCACCCCTCAAGATTTCGATTTGCACCCCACCCCTCAAGATTTCGATTTGCACTCAAGATTTCAATTTGCACCCCACCCCCCTCAAATTTTCGATTTGCACCCCCTCAAGCTTTCAATTTATTTTTCCAACCCATATTGACGCCCCCTAAGGTAGGTGCCCGGGGAATATGTCGCCTTCCCTCGCCCCCCGCCCCCCTCGCTACGCCTCTGATTTTACTACACACTTGTTGGACTGATGTAAATATTTGTCCTATTTAGCCCTGTGGCTCTTCAGACCATGGAGAGCTGTGGCCTGCTTGTCTTTTTCCTCTTGTCTGCTGTCTTCATCCATGTCTGGCTTCTAATTGGCCTGAAGGTGTCACCATATCAGCTGTTAGAACCTAGGCCTGCCTTTAGTAATCCCCCTTTAAAGGTCCCCTTGAAGACCTACAGATGAAGTAAAGTTCATGTAACTTGACCTAGAAATATGGATGGTGTGGTTAGAAACTATGCCCAGACTTTTAATTTCCCTAATGTGAGTCAGCGGAAGAGAGGGCGCCCAAGACAGACCTTGAGGCTGAGTCTTGAAGAACTGAAGCCAACAGGGATGTCTTGGGAGACGACAAAATTAATAGCCGGGGATCGGAAGAAATGGAAGGAAATGGTAAGAGGCCCTATGTTCCACAAGGAGCAGAGAGGACTAAGTCAGAGTCAAAGTCGTATGTTGGTATATTTAAAAGGAAAGTTGTAACATCTATTATTAACTTTTCTCTTATCAGGTGTCAAGACCTTCAGCATCTCAGGTGAAGAGAACATTATGCAGGAGCTTGTAGAGAACGGACCAGTCGAGGCAGCTTTTTCTGTTTACAGTGATTTCCTCAACTACAAGAGTGGTGAGTGCATTAGGATACTTAAACATTAGGGAACACACACAGCTGTTAGCATGCATTAGGGAACTTATACATGGCAGTTGTTGTAGTTGAAGAATAAAATGAGCTGAAAATCTGCTTATCAACAAAAATATAGGTTGCCAGAGTCTAAAATTAGCCTATCTGTAACTGAATAGACACAAAATTTATTTATAGTGATCACTGTTGGCTCATTTTTATGTTTGAGGTTCTAATTATGAAAGCGGTTACTAGTTAGATGGCTATCTTTGGGTATTTTTGTTTTTATGGTAGTATTTCTTTTAATAAATTTCTTTTTATGCTCTTAAACTGAGATTCCTTGCATTAAACTAGAATACAATGTAAAAGAATATTTTTTACTGCAGGTGTGTATCAGCATGCATCAGGAACAGAGCTGGGAGGCCATGCAGTTAAGATAATTGGATACGGTGTAGAGAATGGAACCAAATACTGGCTGGTGGCCAACTCCTGGAACCCTGACTGGGGTGACAAAGGTAAATATTGTTAGCACCTGTGTTGTTACGCTTACATTTAATGGTGAGGGGTAGAACTGAAACGAGGGGACAAAGGTAAATATTGTTAGCACCTGCGATGTTACACTTACATTTAATGGTGAGGGGTAGAACTGAAACGAGGGTGACAAAGGTAAATATTGTTAGCACCTGTGATGTTACACTTACATTTAATGGTGAGGGGTAGAACTGAAACGAGGGTGACAAAGGTAAACATTTTTAGCACCTGTGATGTTACACTTACATTTAATGGTGAGGGGTAGAACTGAAACGAGGGTGACAAAGGTAAATATTGTTAGCACCTGTGATGTTACACTTTTATTTAATGGTGAGGAGTAGAACTGAAACGAGGGTGACAAAGGTAAATATTGTTAGCACCTGTGTTGTTACACTTACATTTAATGGTGAGGGGTAGAACTGAAACGAGGGTGACAAAGGTAAATATTGTTAGAACCTCTGATGTTACACTTACATTTAATGGTGAGGGGTAGAACTGAAACGAGTTATCATGATATGTTGGAATAACGTTTCGCCTTTGTGTTTTAGGTTTCTTCAAAATTCTGCGTGGACGTGATGAATGCGGTATTGAGAGCCAGATAGTTGCTGGAGAACCAAAGTTGTAATTAAATCCTGAAATTTTTAACAATTTTTTTTTAAATGAGCTCAACACATTCCTGTATTATTTTTTTTTACTAGCTTTAAATCTGCTGAAAAAAGTGGCGTAAATAGTTTTGTGCCAAAGAATTATTTTGCCAACACTTGTTCAAATATCTGTACATAAAACTTTTTTTCTAAGTCTTAAATTTGTCTAAACTTTTGGTTGTTGAATAAACATTTAATATTAGATTGTAATTTTTATAACAGTCAATTTAAAAAAAAAAAGTAGTTTTACCCTTACACTGCAGGGTTTTATGTCTAACTGAACCTCTCTGACCTCAGTTAAAATGTCTCATATGGAGTCTCCACATTTTTCAAGCTTTAATGCTCCACATTTTAAAAAGTGAATGTATCCAATGAATATTTTGTTCTACTGAATTTTTGTAATGAAAGTAATTGTAAACTAATATTTATGAAACTTTCTAATACATTTTTAGTTAGATCCAGCTTACCGAACTAACAAATTAACACAAATTAAAATTGCTATGGTTGAGCATATAGCTGAATAATTGTCAACGCTGCTTTCAATTTTTAATAAGTATTAAATACCTGTTATTTGTTAAACTGATGCCTCTAGTTTTCATAATAAAATGTTCATAAAGATTTTAACGTCTTTTAATTCAGTGTTTGTAAATGTTTCAAAGAGATTGTATTTTTTGCACGGTTTTAGCAGTGACAACTGTCACAGCAAAATGTAGAGGCAGCCTGAGGTATAGGCTTACCTTTGACAGAACTACAAGTACAAGAATGGAACAACCAGAGTACAAAGTCCTGCGGCTGGCATTGTAAAAGAAAAAAACCCTTCCTACATCAAAGTTGCTGAAGGCACAGCTATGCCTTTGCATTGCTTTACTTAGCATAAAAGCCCCCTTGATTTTAACGCTTTCAGACAAATCGGGTTACTTGTTTTTTGTCATGCATTATATCTATATATATATTTCTCTTCTTGGAGACGCTAGAAAACAAGCTGTAAGCGCGCTCCCTACCACCCCACCCCTACATGGTCTGGTGAGCTGTGGTTCACGCTAAATGTTTACAATCCTAGAGCCGTGTTTAGTGACGGCTATTAGGGGTAGATAATTTAGTTTGAAACGATTTTAAACTTAGGGGAGGTAACTAAGAGGAGGCTGCTTTCACGGGGGGGGGGGGGGGGTTATCGTCCTTAACGAGCTACTGATAGTGTTTTAAAGCAATATATTAGTGGCAGCATTGGTACTGTCGAATTCACAAATTATGAATTACTGAAAAGTAGAAAATAAAACAACTAAATAACGGCGTATGATACGCCGCGGGTCGGCTCGTCCTACATATTTGCCTACATGTATGAATTCAATATCTGCTCTATGAGCATTATGGGATAAATAGGTTTCCTTCCCGTTATTCAGTGAGCAGGTCAGATATAGTAGAGCTACTATTTAATAAACTACTGCATAAGGGTACTACTTTCAGCATTTTGCCCAGCAACTTTCGCTTTCCCAGAGGTGAGCAATAAGTCTATCACGGCTGGGCGTAATCGGGAACATCCACCAGGATTCAAAAACTGGACTATCCAGTTAGCAGTCGTACGCTCTAACGCCCGACCACGCCATCCCATAAAGTAAAGTTTCACTTTCAAACCTGACGGTCTATGGGGCAAGTGAAGTAGAGTTCACTTGTTTCACGCCATCCCATTGGACTGAATTTGTTCTTTTTACAAGCTTTTATTTAACTCACTTCCTCTGTCGTCAGTCTAGCTAGATCGAAATGCAGGAGTGAAAATTCGGACAGTTCTACTTGACCGATACGATTCACAGTTGGCACATGGGTCATGACATGAAGACAATGCAATCTGAAACTAAATTTGACTTAATTGGATGCCTAATTCATTTTTTATGAATTAATTAAAATTTGGACCGAATTAGTAGGCATGTCTATCCAACCACACCACACGCGTCATCACGTTCAATAGCTGCGCCATCAGGTTCAATAGCTGCGCCATCACGTTCAATAGACGCGCAATGGTTTTTAGTCGTGTAACACTATTGTAAATAAAACATGTAAAGTACTGAAAAAAAATTCATAAAAAAAACGTTTTAATAACAAGCTTTTATGTACTAATGCACTAAAAAGTAGAAAATAAATTATACACTACTATTTAAATTACTATAAAGAAAAGCGTGGGTCTCTTCTCAAATATTAGTAAAGGTATCCAATAGGTACTAAAGTGACCCACGCTTTTCTTTATAGTTATTTAAATAGTAGTGTATAATTTATTTTCTACTTTTTAGTGCATTAGTACGTAAAAGCTTGTTATTAAAACGTTTTTTTAATGAATTTTTTAATTTTTTTTTTAATTAATTAGAACTACGAGCCTTACGCATCCATTAAACAATAAGAAACACTTTCCTTATACATATTATTAATTGCTCATGAAACCTAACACATACAAGTAACTAATAATTTACTTTTATAATTATAACTTTCAAAAATTTAAAAAGTTTCGTACGCTTTTAGAACTTCTTTTTATAAAGCTCCAACATATTTTTTTCAACTTAATAATTTACCAATTACTCGCCTACTTAAACCCATCCTACATAATGTTTATTAATGCATATTTATTCCCTCCCCTTGATCCTTCAATCGCACTTGTAGTTCACACTCTTCACAAAGGGAAATAACCTTTAATCGAAACTGAAAAAAAGAAAACAACCAACATTTTAATAAAATCTGGGCGAGTCTGCTGACCTCTGACCCAATATCCTGATGTAGACATGTGACTAATTAGGTGGTGGCCTGGAGGAAAACTTCGACAGCTGACATGCTATTTGGGTCGATGAATGCTGATAGTAATTATTAAGGGTTAATTAATTTTTGTTGTTGTGAAGTCACAGAATGTGCAGCAGAGGATGTGTGGTGGTATAGTGTTGTTATGGGATATTATGGGATAATATTGTAATGGGATAGCCCGGGATATTGTAATTATAGGATAACATGGGATAATGTTGTAATGGGATAACATAGGACATTGTTGTTATGGGGTAATATGGAGTGTTGTCATGGGATAGCCCGGGATATTGGTAGTATAGGATAGCATGGGATAATGCTGTTATATGGTAACATGGGATTATGTTGTTATGTAAAAACATGGGATATTGTTGTTATGAGATAACAATCATTATCTTAAGTCAAAATAAGTACGCTCAAACACACACTAGCGCCTATTCACTATCTCTCTCTTGTGTAAATATGTATATATATATATATATATATATATATATATATATATATATATATATATATATATATATATATATATATATATATATATATATATATGTGTGTGTGTGTGTGTGTGTGTGTGTAGCCTATTTCTATATATACGTATATATATATATATATATATATATATATATATATATATATATATATATATATATATATATATATATATATATATATATATGTATGTATGTATTTATGTATGTGGCCTATATATATATATATATATATATATATATATATATATATATATGTTACGGTCAAAGCCCGAAGTCGGCCAATGCTAGGATTGGCCGGCCAATCCGCGCATTGGCCAATATCGCCTCCCATAGGTCGGTCAAAGTCCGAAACTTTGCTTCATTTCGGCCTTTGGCCGGCCAATCCGCAGACTGGCCATTGTGGACCGGCCAAAGTCTGAAATAGCTCTTGATTTCGGCCTTTGGCCGGCCAGTCCCGGCCAGTCTGCGGACTGGCCATGGTGGACCGGCCAAAGTCTTAATTAGAAGATCATGAGCAGATTTTGGTTTTTTTTATGCCGGTAGGATCATGAAATTAAGTCTTTATTGATTATTAATTAAAGTAAATGACAGAAACATTCAAATTTTTTATTGTACTATAGTCTCAATCAATCAATATTATGATTTGTTACAACAAGTTGAACTTTTATGGCATTTAGAATTACATAGCAGCTTGTTATTTTTACACTTGCAGCGATTTGTTGTGCACTTAGTTGTGCTATTGCAGCGAGTGTAGCCTTGGCCCCCAGTCAAAGATTGTGAAGATGCGATGAAGATGCGATGGTTCGTAGTGATTTTTCCTCAGTGCCAACTGACGACAATAAGAGCAGTTTTTCGTGAAGAATTGAAAACTCACTTCTAGCATACAGTTGTTTTAGAACACCATGTTCCGTTCCTAATTTGTAGAAACCGCCCTCGACGCTCATGACAAATGCAATCACGCTTTGGGGATCACCGCGACCTCTTTCAACATCTGGAACACGGATGCGTACATTGTCACCCACTTCACCATCTTTAAATTTTGTATTTGATGTTTTAAGCATCTTAGCACCTTGATTTTGCAAGCCAGTATGAGCTGCTGACCTGTGTTCCATGATGTCTTGTTTGTTGTGACACAATCTGCAGGTAATGTTCCCTCCGTACCCTTCGTCTGCTTCATTGGGTACTCCACAAATAGCATGGACATCTTTGCCACAGGATCCACAAGAATGAGCTGCACTACAATGTTTTTCACAAACTATACAGAATCTGTTGGCCACATTATTGTCACGCAACTGGTCTGGACGTTCCGCCACGGCAGTAGATGTGTTAGCTGAGGATGTAGTTGCATTTATGGCAACCTCCATTTCTTGTTCAATGTTCTCAAGATCTTCCTCAGTAACTATTTTATTGAGAGCCTCTCTTGGTAGATTTGAAGTGCTAAGTCCCACTTTTGCTTTGCATCCAAACAAGGCTTCGTATGGTGATTGTTGGATTCCTTGATGAAAAGAACGATTTTTCATAAATTGAATGAATTTGAGACTCTCAGCCCAATGAGCTGATTCATTTGTTTGCATCCATGTCATCATCATGTTTTGAACATCTAGGAACGCGGAAAAGTCTTTTGAACGTTCCGTCTTGTTGCACGTGGTCGGTGACGCCGACTGTCTTTGATTTTGTTCTTTGATGATTATCTCACCTCGTCATCATGGAGGAGGCTGTCACATATAGTTGTAGCCCATATATGGAAACTAACATGGATTTACATTTTCTTTCTTTTGACAGCCATCTGCTATGTCTGTCTCTTGGTCTGGCGGCCCTTTTGATCCATGTCGCCTTGCATATAGAATGCTATACAAACAATAGCTAAACAATACGTTACTCAAAAATGAAACCGCACCCAGAATAATTAAAACGCGATCACAACTTAGTCTAGATACAACATTGGCCAGGACATCCCGGCCAATGCGCGCATTGGCCGGCCAATGTACAAAATATGCTGTCAAGTTTAAGTACTTCGGACTTTGGCCAGTACGTCCCGGCCAGTGCGCGCATTGGCCGGCCAATGTACGAAATACGATCTTAGTTCTAAGTTATTCGGGCTTTGGCCAAGAGAGCCGGCCAATCCGCGCATTGGCCGGCCAATCCGGGGTTTGGCCGCACTTCGGGCTTAGACCGTAACATATATATATATATATATATATATATATATATATATATATATATATATATATATATATATATATATATAATGTATATATATACACATGCATATAACCACTGTATAAATACGCCTATTGTTATATGGCATTCATATTAGCATATTCTTTATAAATACGTTAAAATTTGCT